TCTCTCTCTCTCTCTCTCTCTCTCTCTCTCTCTCTCTCTCTCTCTCTCTCTCTCTCTCTCTCTCTGTGTGTGTGTGTGTGTGTGTGTGTGTGGTAGGTTCTTTCTGTCCCTACATCTTCTGGCTATTTTGGGATTTCCAAACTTCCTCCAGTGGGCTACTTCTTCTCCTTGGCACTCTTTAGGATTAAAAAAAAAAAAAAAAAAAAAAAAAAGAAAGAAAGGATTACAAGAAATGTGTGCTTCACCTTTGCGACCCCCACCACAGGCACCTCCTCGCCTGGAGTGCGTCGCTGCTCCATGTTGCTTGGCCTCAGTTGATGATCCCGGGATGCACAAAGGAAATTTTGATCTAAGGCCGCAATGCGCTGACATTACATCCACAATTCGTGACATCCCTGTGCTGACCTGCAGGAGGAAGTGGAGTCGAGAAATAAAATTTTCCAAAGGTCCCACATTCAGTTAATGCCTCTGGATGTATGGAAATTTCACGATTTGGATACCACGATCCTTTATGAATTTTCTGTTCTTTTTCTGAAAAAGGTTGTTTGATATCTCTCCATTTTTGTCTTCTCCTTCACATTGTTGTTGTTGTTGTTGTTGTTGTTGTTGTTGTTGTTGTTGTTGTTGTTGTTGTTGTTGTTGTCGTCGCTGTTGCTGTTGCTGTTGCTGTTGCTGTTGCTGTTGCTGTTGCTGTTGCTGTTGCTGTTGCTGTTGTCGCTGCAGTGCCGCTGCTGTTGCTGTTGCTATTGCTGTTGTCCATGTTGCTGGTGCTGGTGCTGGTGCTGTTGCTGGTGCTGTTGTCATTGTTTCTTCTTCTTCTTCTTCTTCTTCTTCTTCTTCTTCTTCTTCTTCTTGGTGCTAGAGGTGGTGTGGTTGTTTGTCTGGAAAGAAAAGTGAAAACCCCAAAACAATGATTGTTGTTGTTGTTGTTGTGGTTGAGGTTATTGTTGTTCATGTTGTAATGGTGGTGGTGCTGCTGGAGGTGATGGTGGTGATGGTGGTGGTGGTGGAGGTTCTGATATTTCTCTGGGAAGGAAAGTGAAAGGCTCAATCAAATAAGGACTATGTAAGGATCCCATTACGGAAACGACTAGAATACATTTCCAGAGCAATAAGACAATTAGGGGGGAGGGGGAGGGGGGGGGAAGGAGCTATAAGAGGAATTATAAATCTCCAAGTTGAGAGCAAGAGCAAATGAAATACTCTTGAAAGATAGAACCGCTTATTGAACAAAAGCACAAGAATAAAGTACACTCAAAAGGTCACACTATGATAATGAATCAATAGTAACAAGAAGGGCCAGTGCGGCTTCGCCCGCATGACATAGCAGGTCAGTTTCCTTAATCTCATCACTCTAACACACGCGGATAGTGAATCCATTTTTCAAGGAATGGCGTATAGAAGAGACAATTAAAGCTTATGGGATGCTGGACCCGGTTTCCAGCAGGTGTCGCTCCCCACCAATAGATGGAGCGGCCCGCTAGGCAAAGCCTCAATCCCGGTGGTTCTCTTACCACCACCAGGATAGAGGTCTTGCA